GCAGGGTTTGTGTTTGTCTGGGTGTTATTTTATGAGAGTGTTTTACATTGCATTTGTAAGTTTTTTTATTTAAAACTTTAAAGCATTGGTTGGTAATAGATGTACAGTACACTGACTAATGCAAAATGCAGATGAACATTGTGTTTGCATAGAATGCATGGCTGTAAACTGGCTTAGATTACATCAGTTTGCAATTTTAATTTATGCAATATGTGACATTTATAACTCTTAGTTGTATTGCCCTGAAGGAAGTGTTCTTGCTTGAAAGAATATTATATATAATATTTTGTTTAAAGAATGTTTTTTTTCCATGTAACTTAAAAGATACAATTGCTACTTAAAACAGCACTGTTGGAAAATGTTATATTTAAGTAACTGATGGTGATGCATTTTGGAAGACCAAGAAATGATACATCAAAGAAATTCCATTAAATTATTTTTCATGAGACTTCAAATATGAGATAAGTCTTTATTTTTTTCTATTACAACCTCTTAATGCACATTTCATCGCAATCTGTATCAGCCAAGGTATAAAAACAATTTTTTCAGGATTTTCTAATGCAATTATCAATTATTATTATTATTATTATTATTACTGTTTCTAAACATAAAGTGTTCAAAAGGAAGCTAAGTGACAATATATGCTTCAGGATATCACATACTTTCATAACCAAGAGCAACATAATACAATCATTTCCCATGTGATTATTATGGTACTACTCCATCCAATAAATGTGATAGACCCTATAGTTACAACAGAAGCTAAAAATGCAAATTGATTAAATGTTTATTAAAGGATATTTGTGATGTAACAACACACTTCACTCACCACACAATCATGATACTGAGGTCAGGAAACAATTTTTATCTCCACTTCTACAATTTTTTGAAGCCCTGAAAGCTTTAGAATTTTGTATTTTAATTTGTTTTAATGTATTGTTTATTTTTACAGGGGCAGTGCACAATCAAATGTAATTGCACCAGTTAGCTAATAGCTAATTTGCATCTTTTGTCCCTGAAAAATTAGGGGTTTTAGGTTTTAATAGTTTTTTTATTTTTAATTAATTTCTATTTTTTCAACTTCAAGACACTTGATCTAATATATAGTCAGATCAAAAGACTTATTTAAAAAAAACTTTTTACCAACAATTGTAGCTCTATTAAAAATAAACTATACTAATATATTGAAAGTATTGGGGAAGAACACAAATGATTATATTGCTAGTATTCTAGACTCTAACCCATGTGAACATTAAACAACAATTTTAATAACAAAGCAATGCTTATGTGTTTGTGTGTCCATGAATGTGTAGCTTTTGGACTTTTGAAAAAACACAACACAGACTGACAGAAATACTTGTGGAGAGACAGTTGTCTCTCAGATCATGTATTGTGGCAGTCAGCCTCAGGCGGCTCTGAGCTGGCCTGCCCATTATCACTGCACATGACCCTTCTGTGCTGTGGGCGACCTGGCCTGAGAGCCCTGACAAGGCCCCCACGGTCGGTACATATGCCCAACTTGTCACTCATGGACAAGGTCCTGTCAAAGAAAATACATTGCATGCATGACCAACCACAATGCATTTGGGAGATTACAGAATGTATTCAAGTGTAATTTTGTACAGATAACCATTGCACCAATTGGATGAATCCCAATGACTTCAACAATTTCTTAACTTTTTACACGATGAGGTACACAATTATTAGTCTCAACTACATTTTAAATGTTCAAAAAAGTTAAAGCACCAGCTACTGGTAAAAGAAAGTTGCTACTTTTGTATTAGTGCACAAATAAGACGATTAATTTAGGGTTTTTTATGCTTCAGTGCCTCCTTCAAAATAAAATAAAAAGCCACCTAGGATCATGAAATTGGTTGGCATATGTTATTTGTGAAGGCCTACAAAGCTTTTGCATTGTGAGACATTGTTTGCCATGAGACAGGAAGGGAAGAATTTATCAGTTAGACCTGGGTGTTTCAGTCCGTATCACGAGCATTACTGGAGGTTTGTCTGAATACAATATGTACAAATATGTTGATAGTTTTATGTTTAATGTAATGTGAATGATGTTTAGTTGTTGCCTTTTTTATGGCTGCAGCATGGGTGAAGATCCCAAGACAACTTCCTCAATTTGTGAGACAATAAAGTTAATCTTGAGTCCGGGTTTTAATATAATCTGTTAGGCATACTAACGTGGCTAGCCTACAATTTTTTTTAAACATGGCATGTCCTGTAGTCGAGGAGCCTATAGATGAAGAGGTTGCATTATTACTTTGCAGGGAGATATATCTACATTGGGAGGAGTTCATTTAATAAGGATAGGGTAGGCTATAGGTGAGAGGACATTTATGAGTTCCAGCATTATGTTGGGGAATAAGCTAATCAAAATTGAAATAGCCACTGAATGATATTTACTTTAATATTTCAAATAGCCTATGAGCAAATAAAGGTACCACCATGAGCCTTTTATGCCCAAGCCTTTTGTTTGAACTTTATTCTTTTATTTTTAACTGCCTCCAAGTCTGCTTTTCTCCAGTTGGGTATCAGAGTTTGTTTAGTCTGCTTTCTGAAATAGGGCTTGGGTTGTCTTGTGTTTCAATTTATGTGTTTTAATTTCAGTTTGTACTGATTGTAAGGATGTCCGGGTATCTCTCTAATACTGTGTTTTTATTTTTGTTTGTGTGTGTGTGTGTGTGTGTGTGTGTGTGTGTGTGTGCTTGTGTGTTTGGTGCTGTTGTTGCTGTCAGCTGCTTGTCTCACTACGCCTGAGGTCTTGCCACAGGGAAGACTTCCACCTGTCATCATCACTCAAGGTTATTACTAAAAGCTCTTTAATGAGGCTGATCCTCTGTTCTCCCAAAAAAAACACAGTGTCATTTGTTTAATCACCAGAATCATCAACTTAGAAGACAGAAAACACTTTGTTATGACATGGGGAAAAAACTGCCTAAAGCCATTTAAATACCATCCATTTTACCAGCAGGCTGTGTTCAATGAGTATAATTATTCTTTTATACAACAAATTTAATATTCCATGTAGCTAAAAAGGGTTATCCTAAAGAACATATAATCCACTCTAAAAAGAAACCAGAGTCTGAGGATTCCACCTTACTCTTTCATTAAGTTATGAAACATACTCTTGTTGGTCGTGGCCTTGATCACTATGCAAGATGACATTTCAACATTATTGCTGCAGGTGAGTAATACTGTGACAATTGTGGAGTGAAAAGCTGGGTAAAGATTGATTTTCTCACAATCTGGCTAAAAAAAGACCTATTGCATATCTGAATATCAAAATGTTAATAATTGTGTGTGCATAATATCTGTAGCATGACTGCACTGTGGATAAGATTCAGCAATAAAGGCTGAATTGTCTGCATTGTTTAAAGGGCAGTACAATTGTTTGAGAAAAAGATAGCCCAGATGTAAATGCAGTAGATAAAGTGGGTTTTTAAGTTTACTACATGTGTGACTGGTTTTGACAGTACTATTTATGCAGCATCAACCCTCCCAGATCTAAATGAGTCTATTAATATTAGGAGAGGAGGGGAGTAAGATATCCCCAGGGTCTGACTGACCCCAAACATAAATAGCATAATGTCATAAATTTTGCAAGCCTACAGTAATTTGTGGCAATGGGAGGGATTTGAGTTGTTGTAAGTTCAAGAGAAAGGGAAATTATTGGTTTAAATGCAAACACCTGACATCAACTAACCCTTTGGCTATTTCTTATAGAGCCTTAGCTGTGCCTTTAATTAAGCTTGTTTGAGTAGCATGCTTAATGAAAGATACAGCACGAGGATGTTACTGCCTATTGGACAACAAGGACGATAATTTCATGTTGTCTCTGCTGAATGCTAGCTTGATGAGCATGTTACAACCTACAGTATAGAACAGTACAGATTTAAATGAAAACATCAGTCAGGCAGTCATTCAGCAGAGTCCTACGCTCAAGCTGTTCTTTCACCTGAAGAAAAAAAACAGTCACAGTCAAATATCCTGATTAGAGGGGTCCTCTATAAGAATATGATACTGCAGGGCTTAAAAACGAAAGGAACTATTGACTGGAGGAGAATGTTTGCAGGACATAGTGGAGCTGCCTTTCTAATATGAATTCTGAGAGAAAGTGTAACTTAAACTCAGTCTGATGTTGTAGACGTCGTTGCTACTCACATGCATAAAACATGTTTTCCAAACAGCTTATACAACACTCATTGTTAGCCTGGATATGCAGATTTAGCTATAATCACAACACCACAGATTTATTAAAAATAGAAAAATGAAATGGAACAGATCAATGTTCTGTCTAATTAATACACAGCCTTTTCATGGTTAATTTCTCATCTTATATTATTAATTTAGGTCAAATGTGAAAATGATTAGTATAAGTTGGGACCTTTGGGACCAGGAGTTCCTCAAAGTGTTCCTCCCACCACTTAATGATATCCCCAGGTCAGCAGTTCTCCACTCCTGCTGACAACAGCCTGAGTCAAACCCTACTTTCTTCTACTGAGTAATCTGATGGTTTGCCAAAACAGCCTTGGGCCAACCAAAAATCCTTCTCCATAGCCTCCCCAAACTCCTCCCACACCGCAACTACCCAAGCCACAACCCTCCGAGCCACCTGATACCTATCTGTCGCATCTGGGGACCCCTGGGCAAGCCAAGCTCAAAGGCTTCCTTCTTCATCTTGATGGCTTTCTTATCAGCTGGTGTCCACCAGTGGGTTCCTAGGTTGCTGCCATGACAGGCACTGATGGCCTTCTGGACACGTCTCCAAGCAGTTGCTTCCACAATGGAGGTTTTGAACATGGACCACTCTGTCTCAATGTCCCCAACCTCTCCCAGGATATGCAGGAAAATATTACTGGGGAGAAATCTAGTTTTATAGTTGCAGTTTGTTAATTTAATTGAGAAGAAGGATTTCTCTTGATCTGGAGTAGTAGCTGAAATAAGTGATTGAGAGTGCAGAAACACCACCATAATGTCTAAATGCTGTGAATAAATGTGTGAATCATTGTTTCAATAAGTAATTTAACTGACACTATTATTTTCTCTTTCCTTAGGAACGATTCTTCAGGGCATGATTTCCTTAGCAGCTCTGATGCCTACACAACTGGAGGGGTAAAGGAGTCTATGGGCCATGACTGCACTGCTGCCTAACGTGAGTCTTCCTGGGAGCGCAGCAGTTCTGCTTCAGGCTACAGACGGTCCTTTTAATCTGACTACAAATGGCAAGACAGGACTGGAATCAAGCCATTCGCTGGCCCCTTTCTGTACCCTTTGTTGCTGTGGATTTCTCAATCGCACCTTGGCAGTGGTATTCATGGTCAGCCTGGCATTTGCCATTGTGGTTGGAAATGTGGTCACCGTTACTGTCTTTGTGCAAACCAGGCAGTCCCGTACACCACAGGGATACCTTAAAGGTAAATTAAGTTAACCATTTTACCCCATCGTTGTTGGCAGCAGAAAGTAGTTTGTTACAGAAAAACTAACCTGCAAAGTGTAAATCCTGAATGTATTCATTCACAGGGAAGGTTTCTTAAAGTAGAAATCAATATTGGAAATACATTAGAGGCAAAATTAAATGTCTTACCCAAGATTTCAATGGTAATCAATATTGATAAAAAAATATATATACATTAATCAACCTGCCAAAATCAAAAAACAGGTTTATTTACATAGATCTAAAAAGGTCAGGATAACTTTTAACAGTGTTTGGTTGAAGTGGTCCAAATCTTTTGCTCACTTGATATGAATATAATTTTAATAATCATCCTGTTTTTGGTTTAAATAATTACATAAAAGGGTTTAACTGTTAAAAAATACAGCAAAGATTACAGCAGTTTGTCTTACATTGTTTAAAATTTGAACTGAAGCGGACCCGTGTAAAAGAAAACAGACTAAATGTTTTATTTTTGCTCTCTTCTTTTGGTTCTCTCTTTGACAGTGTCTCTGGCCATAGCAGACATGATGGTCGGCGTCCTTGTGGTTCCTTTCTCTGTCTACACTGAGATCTCTCTGATGGTGACTAGCACTCCTCCCATTTGGTACCAGGGTAGCTTAACTTCCCCAGCCACCTCCTCCTCTCTTGGGGGACTTGTAAGCCCTTGGCAGCCCTGCATGCTGATTGGCCCAGTGTTCGCTGGATGCACCTTTGTCTCCATTAGCACAATCTTCCTCATGACACTGGAGCGAAGTGTTGCCATCCTATGGCCACTTCATAAGGACGCCTTGGTGACCCGCAGGCGAACTCTGCTACTCATACTGCTGTCCTGGGCTGCAAGCTTCTTGCTAGCTTTAGCTCCCCTTATCTTCAGCAGTAATTTCACTTTGGAGTACAATGAGTGCAGTCGCATGTGCAACTACACCCCATTAATGTTTGGAAGTCAGCTACCATCTGATGCCAATATTTTGCTTTTGTTCCCAGTGTTTGACTTCACACTGCTCGGTGGCACATTAGCCATCAATATTATATCTTTCACCAGCATCCGGCAGTATTCCCGAAAACGCAAACTGCTCTCGGAGGGAAGTCTGAGTGACGGAGGGGGAGGAGTGGGAATGGGAGGGGGAGGATGCCCTCACAGGCCTTCCTTTTCAGACATCAAAGCTGCCAAGACAATTGGCATACTTACATTCGCCTTCACAGCATCTTTCACTCCCATCGCAGTATTTGTACTTGGGAACGTGGTGGGATACACTTGGTGTAACTTTTCTTTTTTTGCCTTCTGGATCCTGACAGGAAACAGTTGCTGTAATGTAATTATCTACAGTGTCAGGGACCACCGCTTCAGGAAGGGTGTGACCCTGCTCTTTCAGCGAGACCAGTTGCCCCCACACGGCGAGAAGAACTGAGGGATGCATGAATTAAAAAGGAACAAGCTTCTGTATTGTGACTGTTTTCAGGAAAATTTGTATTTAAAGGACTACTTCTGTATTTTGAGAAATATGCATTTTTTTATTTTCATCATTATTATGCAGTAGATATCGGTTGAGATACTAATATGTAGCAGGAGCCAGGAGGTGGTTAGCATGGGTAAGCATCAAAATGTGAAATGTGGGGAAACAGCTAGCTTTGCTCTGACAAGAGCTATCAAAAATTTCCTACCAGCAGTTTAATAGTTATTCACATGTTACAACGTATAAGGAAAAGAAGCATTCTGTCAAAAATAGTTTTGTTTTTTTTCAGAGGTTTTGTGCATTAATATTTCTGTTGCATCTGTGCAATATATGCACTTGGGTTTTAGAACAGATTAAACAAACAAAGTGTTACTTTTGACAGATTTGGTTACCATTGTATACTGCTAAGCAAGGTATTTACCCGTTTCCTATTTCATGCTAAGCAAATTCTGTACTTGCTCATGCTTCTTATTTGATATGGGAGTCGTATCAATGCTCTCATCAACCAATCATCATGCAGAGGGAATAAGTATGAGTCTTCGACTGATACACATTCTTTTCAATTGAAAATTAACAGTATTAAATAGGTTAAAAACATGAAATAAAAAAATAAAATAATGTTAAAGGACACCATTTCCTTGTTACTGAGAAAACTACATTGAAGCCAATTGTAAATGTTTTTGACCTCCACCAGCATTTGTCTTTGAACAGATAAAACAAACCTACAACCAGAGATAAGCACACATCTGTGAATCCATTAAACGTTAATTATTGCTGTTACATTTCCTATTAATTTTAAAAGCAGAATGTTAATTTGAATTTTGAATTGAGTTGCTTGAATTCACTTTTCAAACTCAAGTCAGCTGCCTCGTCTGCTCCTGACTTTTTGAAGAGACGAGACTGCTGACCCTGTTGTTATCTTTTTATTCAACTGACACATCTGCATCATATGTAACTCCGGTGTTATGGAGGGGAGAGAAAGAAATTCCTGTTTTTACTCAGGCTCTCATTGGCTGTAGTAGTATAGGAACAGTGAATGGAAGGTCCTGATTGGTCACAAGAAGAATTACAAGAATTGTAAATTTATAGTGATGAATAGCAGAAGTGCTATACACAGGACAGGAATTTGTTTACAAGACAGTGATATGATGAGAAAACACAAATGCAGCTTGACTTAAGGGGAGCTGGTATATGGAAAAATGTTTCTATTATTTGTAGATATTCAACACAGACACGTGTGTTTTTCAGTTTTCTAAGTCATCATGTCCTCTTAAGAAGTAACATCTATTGACATGTCAAAAAAGCTTTTTTTATTATACCGGTTAACGTTAATTTTAACTTTAGTTAAATATGAACAGCATTAACAGAATAGTTTATATCAAGTTAAAGTCTTTGTTAACGGATTAACAGTTAACTGAGTTACATTCTTGATTAACTGTGCCCACCTCTGCCTATAACTTTTAGTCACATGACAAAACAGTCTTCAGGGTTGCAAACACAGGTATTGAGAGAAAGTTCCACGACAATCATCATCGCTTCTAGTCTCCCTTTCTTCTTCTGGTACCAAACCTCCTTGCCAGACATTTACATAAGAGGGCTTCTACTGGCCTTTTCATAACTTCAGGAGATAAACCTTTTGTATACACTATCAGCAACAAACACAGCATTTTTTTTCTTTTTTTTTAGAAAAAAGAAAGACAAGAGGGGAGAGTGGGGTTAGCATGAACCAGCAGCCTGTGCGTAAAGGACTGTAACCTCTGTTCAAGCCTGCTCTACCAACTGAACTAAACTGGTAACACAATAACAGTTATTTGGTGGGTCTTTCATCATTTCATTTAAAAGGGATGTTGTTGAGTGTGATTTCAAATCTTGCTATTGGCTGTTCTTTGGAAAAATACAGATTACAAGAAATGTTCATGTATTGAAAGAATATCTACTTTTTTATCTTTTGTGATAAAAATCTGCCTCAAATATCAGAAATGCACTTTATCTGTTCCTGTGAGTCATTTTAATTTGACCAAATGTCATTGTTTTATTTCATTTATAAGTGTTATGATACAGTTTATTTAGTTGTCAGCAAATGTGAATGAAAAATGTTCTGTTTATTTATTGAAACAAAATGGACTAAATGAATGGGACAACAGAGATTTAGTATAAAACAACATTATTATTATTCAGACCCTCATACTGTGCCAGCAAACCTTTAAGGGTTTCATCAAATGAAACTAAAAACATATTCACCTCTGTCAGCTTAAAGTCTAGTGTATTGTTTTAAATGTCCAGGTTGTACAATTTGACAATAAAATAATTATTTGATTAGAAGAGATTGAAGACAATATCTCAGCATAAAAACGTTGCATTGTTTATGAACTATTTGTACCTATCAATTAGATGTTTTTTTTAAAAGTGATAACACTTCAAACACACATTAGCTTCCTTATTTATATTAATTTAATACATAAATGTATTCGAAAACAAAATATAATTGTAACATTTTGTCTATTTAACCTTGAAGTGCCCATTAAAGGAATAGTTTGACATTTTGAAACACATAAAAATCATGTTTCAAATACAACATTTCCCCCCCATTTCCTCTCTTGCTTAAAGTTTAGACGAGAGAGTTTATAACACTGTTACAGTATATTAACGTATGACCTCAAAGAAGGCTATTGACTTAGCTCAGCATACATTCTGGCTTTTAGTCTTTGTTTGCATTAAACAAATAAAACATTACCTGTATAATCTGTACCCTTAAAGGTGCTTACAGGTACATTTGTTATTTTCCAGTCTTTTCCAGCTAATCAGAACAACATCTCTTATCTCTCTCATCTCATATTTACTATGAAACTTTAAAAGATCTTATAGTCCAGCTTTAAGCAATAGGCTCTATGTAAAATTACCCAAATGTCAAGCTATTTCTTTAAACCAACTCATCAAAAATCTAGTGCATAGCCATGGAAGCATAATCTGTACAAAGTAATCTGAGATGTATTGTACGTTGCTTCAATCACAAACATCAGGGAATAAATCGAAAATAAATGCAGTACGTGAACAATATGTCATGAGAATGTCACTGAATGAATGAGTGATTTTGAGATGTTCAAACCTAGAGAAATGTCTCCTTTTAAGCAAAAAGGTAATTATTTTTCTAGTCTAAAAAATCTCTCAAATGCTGGAAAAGTTTGAAAGCCATAGTATGTTTACTAATCGTTGGTTCTGTGTATTAAAACAAAAGGATGATTAATGTGCTGATACTGAATTACTGTAAAGAATTGTATCGATATTGAGTTATTCAATGGTGCTGATTGCATCAGATCTGGTTAAAAAAATAAATGTTTTTGAGAACATTTTGTTTTTGAGTTTAATCGGTTGACAGTAATGCAATCATCTCACTGCTTTTATGGATGCCCAAATGGTGGTGACAGTTAGTGTAACCAGTTAATGCAGCATTGACTGAAAAAATTGAGTTCTCCACTAGCAGAGTGCATTTAAAGCGAGTAGCCAGGTTTCCGGCCTCACATACATGCCTTGCCTAATTTAAGCAAAGAAGTAAGGATGTAAAGATTAATCGTGAAGCAGTAAAAAATCGATTCAAAGGTGTCAAGGTTCACATCGGTACTCTGAAAAATGAATCGAGTAATATTGTGAATGTCAGCAGCTGTAGAGTAGAGGTGGTTGGTTGTAACATGCAGGCGTTATCATGGCATCTGCGGAGGCCAAACCATACTAACAAGCGGGTTTGCAGACCTGCTCGCCCAAACGAGTGCAAGAGCCAAAGAGATTACAAGGTGCATTGGTGTTTTCACAAAAAAAAATCTAAAGGAATCTTTTTCAGTCATCTCAAAAGTTTTCTACAGTCTCATTTTGTAAAAAAAATCGTGAGAGAATCATATCATGAACTCAGTACCATGAATCGTATCCTACAAAGAACTGTAAAAAAAAAAACAAAAAAAAACAGTCATACCTGACATTACATTTTTTGTAATTTATGCTGATGGAAACAATATGATTCTAACTCAATGAAGGCGTACACAGCCAAAAACAAAGGTCAAGATTGAAAATCAGTGTTGGATTAAATTAAGAAATAAAAAAATGGCACACAAGCTGCTAGAAAGTCCCTGACACATTTCTCCAGTAGCTTTGAAGTATGATTGGATTTATCTCACCAGGATCAAACTTGTTATGTTATGTAATGTGGAGAAAGATGGCTGGATACCGATAACAAAGGACTATTTGATAGTACAGTATATATGTGTGAAAGCAGAGGGAGGTTTAATGTGTTCTCTATTCTCTTATCTTCAAACTGCATCTAAAACACAGCTAAAGAAACTGAAAAACCCAGCTTCTAATTTAAGGATTACAGTATGTGTGTTTGCAGAGAAGAGGACGGACTTTGTATAAAAAAGCCTTGGTTAGGGAGTGATCTTGCAACATGAGAGGACATTAGATAGTGAGATTAAAGGCGGGAGAGGCTGATGATTTCTCTCAGAACATTAGTCATAGAAAGGGTATTTCACTTCTGGTCTCATTAGACACTAAATGATTTGACACTTTCCTGCACATGTGATTTGAGACCAAGAATGAGAAACAAGAAATTGTTGGATAGAGAGACAGGGGAGGGAGACAGAGACAATGAAAGTAAGAGGGAATTATACTGGATCCTTGACGTAACCAATCAGCTGCTGTGGTTCTTATACATGATATCATGAACACATTACATTCATTGAAAAGGCCTGATTGGTATGTCCAAAACTGACTCAGTACATTTAGATTAATTAGTGCATTATACATTTCAAGTCTTCTTGAATGATAATTGCGTCTGACATCTGTAGAGGCTGTATGGCTGACAGCATTAACAATCTGGTGCAGGGGGGTGGCAGCTTTCCAAGATACATCTTGTCAGGGGATCTAGGGATTTTCGCTAAAACATCAAAGTCACTGTTAATACTTTTTTTTTTTTTAACTTATCCAGC